CCCCCGCCAATGGGCATCTAGAAGGTGGGCTCACACAGAATCCCCCGCCGCTGGGCATCTAGAAGGTCTCAGTGGATGGCAGTGCACGGCCGGGGTCCAAGGACCAATCAAAAGAAGCCCCCGTTTCCATGAGACCAGACTGTAAAGCCTCCAGCTGCAAAACAGCTCAAAGTGAGGCATCCTCAGCAAGGCAGGTCCCACTGCAAATCTTCTTTTCCTTTTTGCAAAAGCAAGACACACTTGGTACTAAAAAAAAAAATGGGCAGAAATGTAAATGTCAGCTACTTCCACCCAGATGCAGCCGGAGACAGTGGGGACCCCTCCGGGGCCGCGGACACCCTGGGTGGCACCTGCGAAGCTCTCCGGCCGACCCACTCCTTGCCCGGGACTCGGCACCTCGGAACCCAGCTGCTGGCGCACGTCACCGGGTTTCCACTGAGACGCTACGGATGCGGACAGGCGGGGATCCGTTTTGACCCTCCTTGCCCCACAGAGCAGAGTAAAGCCGCCCACCCTCAGGCGCGTGGGCAGAGTGGGGAGCTTCACCACCCAGGGGACCCTGCGCAGCAGACCCCTGCGCCTCCCGAGGACGGCCCTGGCCATTCCAAACGCCCTGCTCCGGGCACAGAGCCCAGGAGAAGAGGGCACCTGAGAAGGGGCCCTGTAGCCCTGCAGCAGTTGGGAGTGGTGGGTGACGCGTCCCAGTGACCAAACAGCTAGATGGGGACGCTGTCAGGGCAGAATGACATTCCAAACAAATGAGCCTGGTCCGGGAGCTGGTACAACACGGGTGACCTGGGGGGTCCTTAACGGCCCCCTCCGGGCCCCCCACTCGGCCCCCCACTCGGCCCCTCACTCGGCCGAGAGCCCCGGACGGGAGGAGGGAACGCGAGCCCCTGTGGTCTGCACGGACGTGGGTGTGGGGGACACCACCGCCCCGTGTGCGCAGCGTTGGCAACACTGTGCATCTGGGGACATGTCAGCGGAGACCGTGCACAGCCCCCAGGGGGCCGCTGTCCCCAGAGTCGGCTTCACAGTTAGGACGGGGGCTGCAGGCGGAGTCTTGGGCTTTGGGCAGGCCGTGCGTCCTGGTGGGGTCCAGCGGGCTCCGGGGCCCCTGGACACGGCTGGTCCCGTAAGGCAGAAAGTCGGCGGCGCACGGCCGGGGCCTTTGCCGATGCTGGCTGCCCTCCGTGACCGGCCGAGACAGACGGACAGCCCCGGGGGGACGTCTCCTCTTCCTCTCTCGTTTCCTGGACCAGCGCGCCCAGCCCACTCTCAGGCGCAGCGGGCGCCCGCAGGAGTTAACGGGGGCTGACGGGAGGGGCTGGGCTCTGGACAGGGCACCCCAGGGCTCCTCCCGCTCTGTGGACGTGTCCCCTTTGCCCAGGGCCTCGGCGAGCACCCTTTCTTTGTCCCCAGAGGCGGGGGAGAGGCGGAGGGGGTCCACCTGCAGCACTGGGCCCCTGCTCCTCCCGCCGGCCGTCGAGACGCTGGAGAAACCCGCGAGATGAAGGTTTTCCCAGGAAACTGCTAAGAAGGGGACGACCTGATGGATCAGATCTAAAAAGGAAGAAGTCACTCGTGGGGGCAGGACTCCCAGCGCGTCCCCGCCCAGAGCCTCTCTGGGCAAGCGAGGGGACAGGGACAGGAGAAGGTGCCCACTGTCACCAAATGTGACTGGGGGGGAGGATCGCCTGACACCTCAGTGCATCACATCTCGCCCCGAGGGACGCTGCCCACGGTGGGTGACAGTGTTCCCTACCAAGCAGAGGAGTCACTCAGGCCAGGTGGGGCGTGGACGACACCCTGGGGCCTGCCGGCCAGCAGCTGCCAGGCCTCAGCTCTCTCCAGGCCACCCAGCCTCCTGGGCGCAGGGGACCGTGTGGGCTGCTCAGAGAAGGCACCTCGGTCCCTGCCTCACCTGAGACTAAGTCCAGCACTGTCCTGGCCTCCTGGCCCCAGAGGCCCCAGACAGCCCTGAAGGGGGTCCTCTGGGGGTCCCGTCAGTGCCCACACCTGAGTGGTCAGCTGAAGGCCAAGGTTCCCACACAGCGGCCAGCACTCAGGGAAGGTGGACCAGGGGCTGGACCCGGCGGCCCCTCCCGGTACACAGGCACACGTGCACATGTGAGCACACGCAGACACACACGCGCCGTGGACAAGCGCACTGCAGACACTCCCCAACACGGAAGGACAGTCCAACATCTCCAGCAATTAGGGGCGTGAGACTGACCCCCAGGTCTCCCCCCGTCCAGTCAGGATGGCGGCCTCAACGCCACAAAGGGGAGAAGCGCCACGGAGGGTGTGGGGTTGGTGGGACGGTAGGTCAGGGCGGTGACCGTGGGAGCCCGGCGTGGGCCACTCCATGGGCCAGCTGCCCGGTCCCCGGTTTACCCTGAGGAATCAAGGTCGTCACCAGGGACCCACACACCCCGTTGACGCAGCAGTTCACAGTGGCCAGGCTGAGCCGGCCTAGCTGTCCACCCACAGGAGAGGCAGGACGGTCCAGGTGCACGTGGCGTCCCCTTCAGCCACGGAGAGGCACTAGTCATTTGCAGGGAAGCGGGTGGAGGTGGAGAGCAGCGGCCAAGTGACAGGAGACGGACCGAGAGGTCGGGGTCGCGAGTCACCTTTCACGTGTGGAAGACAGAGTCAAGGGACCCGTGACACTAGGAGAGAGACCAGCAGTGGTGGAGGGGCCAGGGGACGGAGGCACCGCCCAGGTCCTGCTCCGTGAGTGACCAGTCGGCCACCACGGCCCGCTAGCACGTGTGGTCTGGATGACCGATGGAAACCCATCTGAAGAAGCTCCAAGCTGCGGAACAAATAGCCAGGGGCAGAGTCAGACCCAGAGAGGGACCGGCAGGAGGCGCGTCTCAATGTCCAGGCAGGACATGTGGCAACGCCGAGCGGGGGTCACAGATGCGCACGCCGTGGGCAGCGGCTGAAGGAAGCAGGTCTGAGCCGCCCCCTGACCGCACAGAGAGGCAGAGACCCTGGGACAGCTGGCGAGGGACCCGAGGGACAGGCTGGGGCGAGAGAGGAGCCGCCACTCACAGCTCCTGAGGAGGGTGGGGGCCAGGCCCTCAGCCACCGTGGAAGGCCAGGATGGCAGGAGGGCAGGGACGGCGTGGACAGCCGGGCAGCGGGTGTCCCCCGTGTGCTGGCGTCTCATGTCCTGATGGTTGGGGGCCTCCTCGCCGTTAACCGTGACCTTCTCCCGTGAACCGTGACCCACCGAGGCCGGAAGAGCGTCTGGTTAGGGCGCGAGGCACAGGCCGGGGCCCAAGTCGCCGCGTCTGACACTCAACCATGTGAGGCCAGAGACTGCAGGAACCCAGCGGCCCTTCCGCCAGGCAGTGGGTGGACCCCTCCCCACCCCGAGGTGCAGCCGCTCAGATTGGCCACCGACTGGCCAGGGTGGCCTCCTGTGCTCACGCGTCCCTGTCCCCCCGTAGGGCTCCCAGGGCAGGACATGCCTCGGCCCCGCTGGGCCTCACACCTGGCAAGGAGTGGCACCCAGTGCTGGGGACCCTGAGCAAAGGGACCTTAGAAGGCACCTGAGCCACGGTCCTGTCCTCCTGCCCACAGAGCCCCATGCCCTGCTTCAGTCAGAAGCCCTGGACAGGTGACGGAACACTGGCCTGCTTGCCCAGGGGCTGGACTTGAGAAGCAGTCACCAGGCATGTCCCAGCAGGCGGCTGCCGTCTTCAGACCTCGGAAGCCTGTCAAAGGGCGACACTGTTGTTGGCTTTTATGGAGCACATACTGTGTGCACCCATCAATCAGGAGATATCTGAACCTCCTGCCGAGACCTCGCAGTGGGGTTTCACTTCCTTGGCCATCATGAGGCAGCATCTTCCTGGTCCCCCAAGTGCCCAAGCACCTCTCACCTCATCATCCTGAGCCCACAGATTCTGATGGCCCAGCATGGCTGCGGCGCCACCTGCCCTTTATCAAGGCTCCCAGAGGAGTAAAGAGCCCAGGACAGGAGGCAGGGCCTGTATTAGGGAAGGAAAAGCCCCCAGGGCAAGTCCTAGCCGACTCTCACTCAGGGTACTTCAGCCAGAATGGCGACCCGCGCCCTGGATTCCGCGGCAGCTGGAGGATCAGGGATCTTCACATTTCCCACGCGCCTGCCCCCAGGGTTCTTCAGGAAGGGAGGAGACCAGATGGAGGCTGGGCAAACGCCACGCAGCCTCGCCCAGCGCGGCACTTCCCGATGGTTCCACAATCATCCCTCAGAGACACATTTGGGGCAGGCGCGGTGACGCACACCTGGGATCCCAGTGGCTCCGGAGGCTGAGGCAGGAGGATCACTCACGAGTTCAAAGGCAGCCTCTGCAACAGAGGCGCTAAGCAGTTTAGACAGTTCAGGGAGACCCTGTCCCAAGATCAACAGGGAACAGGGCCAGGGACGGGGCTCAGGTCGGGAGAGCTCAGTCCCCCCGAACCAGACAACAAAAACAAGACGGGTTTGGGGTTTGGGGGCTGTTTACTTCGTTTTTCTAACAAACTGCAGCCACAGAAGCGGGCGGTGGGGGGGGCCGCCCTGGACCTCCTCCGGGCTGGGGCCTCCTCCGCGCCCCCAGCTTCTGTTCGCGGCTCCTCCAAAGGGGCTTTAGTGTCGCCTTTGAGGAAGTTTCTCCCAAACTCTCCTCAAACACTGTCCTGCCGCCCGCGACCCCAGAGTCAGCAGCAGCGTGGACGCGGCTCTTCTCCATCCTGAGATGGCCGCCCCGAGGGCCAGCCCCGAAGCCCCCCTGCTGTCGCGGGTGGTGACGTAGGTGGAAGGCTGCTGTGGACCGCGCCCGGGGCCTACGCGCCCTGGGTGTGACCCGAGTCCCTCACCTGTTCTGGGAATCTGGCCACCAGAGGGGAGGACGCCAAG